ATTCATTATATCTAAAAGTACAGCATGAACATTCTTCTAAATATCTTTGTGCTCCATAGAAAAATAATAATTATATTTATATATATATATATATATACACACACACATTATACAGATATACATTTTTTTTTTCTTTTTTTGGTGCAATGACAAACATTCTAAATGGATTTGAAAAATATAAAGTGTAGACTATGGTCACTTTGTTTGAGATGTGAAAGCAGGCAGATGATCCCGGTAACACGTGTCCCTGCTGTATTGTCATCATCAACCGGTTTGGACTGGAACTGCAGCGCACATGCATGGGGATGCACGAGAGATGCACGTGGCATGTGTTTACAATGCAATTTACAGTAAGAATTGAAATAAAAGCATTCACATTAAGCAAATGCCATAAACGCAGTCTACATACATTGTCCATGTCACAGAAAACCACCCAGCATGAAAACTACCCTTAGGCTACCCATACTACACGGAGCGGATTGTTCCATTAAATATAGATTAAAGGCATTTAGATTTTCATCAGTCACTAAAAGTCTTTAAAGTGTTGACGGGAAATGATCGATGATGGGTTGACACTGCAGGAAGGCTGTGTTCATTGTCGGTGAATCAGAAAGCAAGTTAAGAGCATCGAAATGTGAAGCTGGACCAGCGAGAACAGCTTCAAACCGGTTTAAACGCCTGGCAACAAAAGCCGCAGCTCGTGCAGAACACGCCGCACAATGATGATGAAGGACAGACCGGGATGTTTCAGCTCAACACATCCGCAATCATTCATATAGTATCAGAGTGGTCATCTCACATTATGACACAATGATAAGACATTTCAAATCATAACGCAGGGTTGTCCAAAGAGCCAGTTCAACATCCTGGACTGAATTTACCACGGAAATCATCATTTCCCGGTCGGTGGTGAGGTAAGAGTCAAAAGATTTCGTTCATCTCAATGAGATGTGCATTTGTTTTAATAGCATATTATGTAATATACTGGATATTTTACTTCACAAACGTGTCTTTATATGAAACGTACGTCTTTGTTTTTCTTTCATTTTTTATTCGTTTTTTCGTTGATAATAACAACAATTCTAAATAATAATAATTCTAAAGTTGTGTAAAACTAAAGAAAAAAAATCTATATGCAGAATATAGACCAGTAATTTGAGTGGGGTTCAGGAGCGCGCGCGGTTGCTGTTGTGCGCTGGTTAGGTGTTGCTCCTTAGGCTAGTAGTTAGGTTGAGGTAGAAATGCACAATACTTGAATGGAGATTGCTGAGCACCAAAAAGGACATAAAACGTATTATAAACGTGGCCCATTGTGCAATATGTCTTTTTTCGTGTGTAAACAAATTAAAAGGTAACAGAATATCAGGCTGAACTGTTTCTTTACATTGGTTTTTCTCTACAGGAGCCCAGTGTAAACATGAGCACCTGGAACACTAAGCAAGCCCCAGACGGTGGATGGGGTTGGGCCATTGTGGTTGCTTCTTTCATGGGTCAGCTCCTGGCCTATGGTTCGCCCCAGTCAGTGGGGGTGCTCTACCCAGAATGGCTGAACACCTTCCAGGATGGCAAAGGCATGACGGCGTTGGTCGGCTCTCTCGTATCTGGGGTCGGACTCATTGCTAGTAAGTTTTCTACAGATGCATTATGCTTAAAGGGGTCATATGATGCGATTTCAAGTTTTCCTTTCTCTTTGGAGTGTTACAAGCTGATTGTGCATAGATAAGATCCCTGAAGTGCATGATATGACCCCTTTAATAAATCTACTCTGCATAAACATATGCTTTCCATTGCATTTCCTCTTCATTGAATGTCAAAACTGGAGCAGAAACATTTTTCACTCAGAAACTGCTTGTAAATTTCACAATTAATTACAAAGAAATGGCAAGTAACACACTGAATTAAACATGACATTTTCAAGTAGAAAGATACTCCATTAGTCTTTTTGTTTTTTATTTTATTGTTGTTTTATTGCTTGTTCCTCCATGTCAGTCGTAAAAGAAAATGTTTCTCATCCTCTAGTTATAAGACTTGACCTTGTTTTTCATTATGAAACTTGTTTGTCATTATTAAATGAAGAGCAGCGTGTCAAATCAATAGGGGTATAATTGTGGCTAATGATTTTCTGTTTGTGTCAGTGTGCCATTTGACGTCATCTCCTGTTTCAGAAGTCAATCAAACTCTGCACTATTCTATGTCTCAGCTTACAGCAGATCATTTTAAGCAGCTATTGATTTTAATTCGATTTTGAGTTTACCATTCTCTAACAGGATGATGCTTTGGTCCTTTCGCACAGGTCCCATCTGCAGTGCCTGTGTTGTGAATTTCGGGGCCAGACCCGTGACCATCTTCAGTGGGGTCATGGTCTCCGGAGGACTTATGCTTAGCGCTTTTGCACCCAATGTTCAGTTTCTCATATTTTCCTATGGGATTGTTGTTGGTGAGTTTCTCACATTTCCTCATAGAAAGATTACCTTTTCTAATTTGGGTCACTGCGCCACCTGCGTGTAAATGGCGGTTGATTGATTTGGGTTTTTTAGAGGCTGATGGATGATATGATATACAGAAAACTGTTCAAATGAATAGACTGATATTGATTTTTAAAACGAATACAATGCCAATTATTTGTATGTTTGTATGTCCAATATCCAATATGCATAATTGATATTTAATGTTTGAAATAAAACGTAAATTTCATCATCATATCACAACAATAAAACAGCATGTTTTTTATAACAACAAAAGCAGCAGCAGCAGCAATAATAATAACAACAGGCAAAATAAATTGACTCATCCTGTTTATTAGTGTCAGCTTGAACTACATATCAAGCATTTATGTAGTATTAACATACTACAAAACTGATTAAGGAAAAATACTTAAATATAGGAAAATATATGTAAAACCGATTACCGGTCAATCTGTAAAAAGTAAAGCTCAAGCTCCCTCCCAAAACTGTTTACCTTTATTATATTTGATTATATGATTATAACAAAGATTTTATGAGTAGGTGAACCTTTTTCCTGACTGTTCTTTAACTTGACACTTTTATTATACAGGACTAGGCTGTGGACTTGTTTATGCTGCTACTGTAACCATCACATGCCAGTATTTTGACAAGAGACGCGGTCTTGCTCTTGGCATTGTTACAACAGGTAAATATATGATCAGTCAAAAATAATACACTACCAGTCCGATTTTTGGTCATGCTGGGCTTAATTTATGATTCTCACACATTACAAAAAATAATAATAATTTAGACTAAAGCATTATTAATGTATGTATGTATAAATGAATGTATGCATTTATGAGTGAATGAATGAATGAGTTGGATCGAATCGGGAAGGAAACCCAGGCTACAAGTGCGATTAAGTGCGAAAAATTGCGATTATGACTTATAATGAGATTAAAAATATATTGTTCAAAATACACTTGTTTGAAGGGGTGCACAGATTGGCCAAGATTAAAAAAATTATAATTAAATATCAATATGGCTATAAAATAATAATAATAATAATCATTTATATTTTAATAATAATCATATTTTATATAAAAAATAAAATGATTTTTGTTATATTTCACTGTAAAAAAACATTTAACAAAAATAATATACTATTAATTATTTACTATAATTATATAATTATTATATACTATTATTATACAATACTAATATTTATCTATTAATCTACTATTAATATTTAGTCTTAATTTCTTCATTTGCAAACGTTAAACCATCAAACTTTTATTTTGACTGCAGGGAGCTTAAAGCTTCTCTTTTGTTGACAAGCGCTTCTTATTACAAGTATGGGAAGATGGTTGATAGTTGGAGCATATTATGTTCCCAAATACATGTTAAAGCGACCCAAACTCTGAGCAGATGCAGAAATGGAGTTTGTGCGGAACAGCATTTACTGCTAACCGAGCTGCTCTGAGATGCTGAAAACACTGGTGGATAATGAGTTGCTCGTGTGAGAAAACAGTGCCGCGATTCATTCTGAAACATGTAGCGCATATATTTATTCAATTAAACTGCAGCCTTTGTGATTTGGTAATCACACTAAGCCATATGACAATTTTGGTTTTATTTTGCTTAATCGTGCAACCCTACAACGAATAACATTGACATTCCATAAAACTAAAATAATTCAATCCCAATATTGGTAATACTTAACCGTCTCATTTTTTCAGGTACAAGTATTGGAGGTTGTCTCTACGCTACTGTGCAGAATGAGTTCATTGCATTCTTTGGACTCGACGGCTGCCTTTTGCTTATTGGCTGTTTTGCACTAAACATCATCGCCTGTGCTGGACTTATGAGACCCCTGCACCTGCCGGCCTACTACCTGAAACAGAGAGCAGCGCTGGCCGAGAAGGCAGAGGAGAAGGTTCTGGAAATGGCCCCTGTTGTGGAGGACCCAATCAAGAAAAATCAGTCCGTCAACGTACTAATCACAGGGGAGACGAAAGACCCTCCACCACCGTATGAGAAGAGCCTCGTGAGTTACATGGCGTTGGTGCGGCTCGTGAAGAAGAAGCAGAAGGAGTACTCTGAATACTTGCACTCGACGGCGGAACTGCTTCAGAACAGGGTCTTCTTGGCTACGTGCGTGTCTTTGTTCGCATATTGCTTGGGAGCGTACACTCCTCTTCTCTTCCTGGAGGATTTGGCGCAGAGCGAGGGTCTGATCAGTGGCATCAGCACCATCCCGCTGGTCTCCATCATGTCCATTGCTGCTGGAGTGGGGAAGATGCTGCTGGGCGTCACGATGGACATCCGCTGGATGAACAGCATCTTTCTGTACGTCTTCACCCTGCTGGGAACAGGGGTGGCTCTTCTCATAATCCCCGTTACCAGGAACTACGCTGGGCTGCAGGTCATCTCAGCGCTGCTGGGTTTTTTTTCTGGGAACTGGTCTGTCATACCTTACATGACTACTAAGGTTGTGGGAATGGATCGTCTGACTGAGGCATATGGCATCTTGATGTTCTTCGGTGGATTTAGTATAATGCTCGGACCACCAGTCGCAGGTAATTTTTTGACCTGTTGCTGATTTCAGATCTGTTAGATTAGGGCTCTATACAAGCCTTTAAAATTCACTTCATTAGTTTGAAATTAATTAGTACAGAATAGAGGTTGGCAAAAATTATAATTAAAAAATCAGATTATTTTCAATTAATCAATTAATTTGAATTGATGACACAAACCCCAGGATGTTGAATTGGAATTAATTTATTTTGAAGACTTTTACATAAATTAGACCTTTTTAGGACATAATGTGTTTTTCCCAGTATTATTAACTAAAACTAAATCCATAAAAAAATTAATTAAAAAAAAAATCATTTATTTAAAATAAAATAAACATTAACTTATATAAAATAAAATAGAATATTTAAAAAATTAAACATAATTTATTTCAGCTAGTTTCCAAGGCAACATTTCTAATTTTCGTTTAGTTTAACACACTAAAATAAACTAAATCTAATAAATAATATTTAATAAAAACTACGTAGTCATAAAAAAAAAAATCATAAAACTTTAATTAAAATTAAAATAGTAAACAGAAAATATAACGATAAAATCTAATTCAAAAACTTAACCAAACCTACAATAGTATAGAAATTATATATATATATATATATTACATACAAGTTTCTATAGGCGTGCCAATGGTGTGGCTTTTTTGTCTGGATCTATTAGTTTATTCAAAAATACATAATAAAAAAAAACACCCCTTGAAGATCCTCTTGAAAGTTGTCAGAATCTTTTGAAATGTTAGAGTTGTACTCTATAGATTTTAAAAACTAGATTGTTAAAAGATTCTTTTCTTTATTTTGGCATTTTTCACTGACCCAGGTGACATTTCAAACATGAACTGTAATGAAAAAATGAAATGTAGTACTAAAAACTACACTTACAGCAATTCAAATGTTGCTGTTTGAATTTCATTCCATTTAATTCTACTTCTATAAATTCAAATGCAAATGCATATAATGTATATATGCACATAATATTATATTATAATGTATATATACATCCTGTTTGCTACAGTATATCAATTCAAATTCAGGAATTGAATTAGAAATAAAATGGCATTCTCACTTAAGTTCTGAATGTGCAGACAGAATTGTACGGATCCAGAATGTTTACCTGCGGACAGTGCGGAGCGACATACAGTACAATTTAGTAAGTGACTCTACCATTTGTTTTGTTTCTCACTCCAGGCTGGATTTACGACTGGTTGCACTGCTATGACCTGGCGTTCTACTTCAGCGGGAGTTTCGTGCTGCTGGGAGGAGCCGGCCTTTTCCTCGCTGCCTTGTGCTGTCAGAACAAGAACCAGGATGAAACCAACATGTCAGACACAGAAAGCATTAATGACTATGACAAAGTGGTAACGGTTGCCTGAAGCATGACTACAAGATGAACTGCTGTTCAGCGGATGAATTCTCACACCTTGTAATTACAAATAACTGAAATGTACTTTACATCAGTGTTTTTTACTCATGCTACACTGAAGAATTCTAGCAAATGGTTAAAGGACTGTCCTTAGGCTTGTCATTTGTGGCGATGGTGGAGTCCTCAGTGCCATGTGTCATCAGTCTCATAGAAACAATGTTTTCAAACGTCTCAAGTTTTATGAGATGGCTTTTTTTTGTGTGTGTTTTTTTGTGCAAGACATTACACTGCAGCACTACACTGCAAATAAATATAATTTTTGTGCTGGTTAACGATTTTACAACATGAAAAGCATCCTGCAGTATTTGGACAGGTGATAATGTCTTGTGTTGTACCAAAGTTTTGGTTGTTGTTGGTTTATTTATTGTATTTGATTTGTGTCTGTAAATGCTGTTCATAAGGATCAAGCAGACTATGCCTTGTTATGAAAAATGTTAGATTTTCTTAGTGATACAGACTGTAGTCTGTAGTTGATTTAAAACTACACGCTATAAAACAATATGTATGTTAATTTGCTGTCAGGATATTTTTATAGCAGTTTAGCTATCTTTTAATTTCTTTATTTGTGTACTTTTTGAAATACCAGCTTAAACGGACTGTTTTACACATTTTGCTGTGTATGACTGTATGTTTGTTTCACTTTTTTCAACCTTGGCAAGACATTGCTACTTGAAATACGTTTTTATTATTAAATACATTTATATGAATTAATATTCAACAGTGAAAAGTGGAATGGGACACTTTAAGATATGAGTCTGCACTTGTTCCTGTTTAAAATCCATCACAGGAAAGTTTTTGGTTATGGCACCTTTAGGTGTAGTGGACCTTTGATTCTGCCATTATTATTTATGTCTCTTTAATTTTTTATTTGCATTTTTATGTTTTTTTATAATTACATTTTCATTGGGATAAATGTTTATTTGCTGCTTATTTTATGGCCAGTCTAATTTTGAAAACACTAGTCATGGTCTGTTGATGCAAAATGCAAACAAAGCCAGACTTTACTGTATAGATTTATACTGAGTTTCATTAGACTGCCATGATGTGAGGTGGCCTTGTGGTCTCCATGGATACAGTAACCATAGTGAGTGCAATCAGAGGTCTATTTATACAGTCACCAGTGTCTGTTTACCTGCAGGTTTTGATAAAAGTTGTACAGGAACACCTCATAATATTTATTCCATGGTCTGTCTGAATACTGGATTCTGATTGGCTGGCAGGTATGCAGTAAAACCGTTTAATGCACAGGTAGTTCCAAGTCGGTTTAATCACCGTTCCATATTAATGCGCTGCTTTAATTGATGCACACTAACCAACACACAGCACTCGCGCGCACACACACACACGCACACAGAGTGAGAGATCGCAGATTGCGCTGCACACACACATAAACTTGTTGTCAACGCTTCCCCGCGATTTTTATTAATAAAATAGCCTAGATACTAGATCGCTACATTATATTCCACAGCAACGATGGTAAAATGGCTGTTTTTGAAGTAATTGTTTGTAGAAAGAGGCACGCAGCACGCAGGTACACACAACTGTCATCTCTCTCTATAGATAATTAATTGAAATACATGCTATAATTCATTCAAATAAATGGGATCTTTCCGCACTATTTCATCTCTGTGTCTGATTTGAAGCGGGCAGAATGCTAGAGCTAACGTGCCATAACTGACGAAAATAACTGCCATATTTACCCATTCGATCAAATATTGCGCTGTAAAGAACAATACTAGTTTTAACTTGTCTATAACTTGGCAAATGACCATGGAATAAGCGGGATAATCAACGGCTAGCCGTGCATTAAAGGATTTTAAATGCACTTCGCGGAGGCAAGCACCCTCTGCTTCGCGTCAGCCGGTTCTTTGCCTCCACGTCGTGCATTTAAAATCCTTTAATACACGGCTAGCCGTTGATTATCCCTTACATATATTATGAGTCTATACTGCCAAAGTCTACTCTAAACTGATTCCCAAATTCATCTACATGTATAAAATGTCTGTTCTCAAACTTAGGTTTATGCTTTAGTTAATCAGAGCAGAAGAGTGATTATGACATTGTATATAATGGACATTCAAATATATCCACTTTGAAAATCACTTTCTTAATCAGTATTTTGTCTTGTTTTCCAGTGCAATATCTTAAAAACAAAATAAATTTACTTAAAGGAAAAGTTTGCCCCCAAAAATGTAAACCTTCTGGACAGAGGACTCCTATTTTAGCCAGAAGCAATGGTTTGAAGTTTTAAACGTCTCGATGATGAATTTGTTTATTACAAACACGCAGTGTTTGATGGAGCCATTTGGCTTGTGCCAGTCGTGACCTAATGGTTAGAGAGTCAGACTAAAATCCAAAGGTAGTGGGTTTGAGTCTCGGTACTGGCAGGGATTGTAAACGGGAAACTGCTTGCCTAATTCAACTTTTTTCATTCTCACTTAGGTCCATCAGCATCCTTTGCAGTCAATCCAATTCTAACATTTAACTCCCCATCCTGCAAAAATCACATTTGAAGTTCAGACCTGTTCAAACCAGCTAATGGACTGTTAATCGTGTCTGTCATTACCGTCTATGTTCCAAAGCCATCAGGTGAAGTCAAGTTCACATCAATGATCATTCTTTATGCAAAAATATAAAAAAAACAAACATGAGTTTTGCTATTTAGAACACAATTCAAAGCGGAATGGTCATGCGCCAGTCAGTCCTTGCAGCCATGGTCATGTGCCAATCAGAACTGCAACAGTAACTCAGATCATCATTCCGAGAGAAAACTGGACAATATAATATGTTTTTTGCCTTTCTTTATGTGTAAAAACACCAAGGGAAGCCGGATAGCCCTGTTAAAAAAACCAGCATATGCTGGTTAGGTATGTTTTGACGCTGGGATGCTGGTTTAAGCTGGTCCTTTGCTGGTTTATTTCCTTTGCTGGTTTAAGCTGGTCCTTTGCTGGTTTATGCTGGTCCTTTTGTTTGTTTATGCTGGTCATGTGCTGGTTTATGCTGGTCCTTTTGCTGGTTTATGCTGGTCATGTGCTGGCCAAGGACCAGCATAAACTAGCAAAAACCAGCAAAAGGACCAGCGTAAAACCAGTAAAGGACCAGTTTAAACCAGCAAAGGACCAGCATAAACCAGCACATGACCAGCATAAACCAGCACATGACCAGCATAAACCAGCACATGACCAGCATAAACCAGCACATGACCAGCATAAACCAGCACATGACCAGCATAAACCAGCACATGACCAGCATAAACCAGCACATGACCAGCATAAACCAGCACATGACCAGCATAAACCAGCACATGACCAGCATAAACCAGCACATGACCAGCATAAACCAGCAAAGGACCAGCTTAAACCAGCATCCCAGCGTCAAAACATACCTAACCAGCATATGCTGGTTTTTTCAACAGGGAGTAGCTAAATCTAATGTCACTGATTAAACCCACTGCCTATCACACAATAAAAGAATCACATTGCTGGGTGTTTTTGAAAGTGTTGATTTTGTTTGGTTTAATAGCATTATCTTTGCGAGTATAACTCTCACTTGGCTTGTGAATTAGCAGAACTTGAACAGAGATACAACACTCAACACGAATAACGCTTAATGTGGCTTAATGGACCAAGACGGTGATAAAGACAAAATTGTAAAGCATACTTTGTGCAGATACGCATATGAGGCGAAAATGTGAACGAAACGTGTTTATTTACACATTAAGCGTTTTCCTCTTATATAAAGAAAATGCTTAATGCACCGAGACAGTAATATTAAAACACCACATTCTTTGCACACTTTAATTAAGCATACTATGTGTAGGAAAACAGATGAGCCCAAAATATGTCTGTTCAATGCATAAGCCATGTTAAGCGTTTTCTTTTTATGGTTTTCTAAAGGGAGGTTGTCATTTTGGTTGTCATTTGTTGAAATAAATATTACAAAAATACAGTGTTCGTGCCTGTCCGCTGAATATGACCCACAATCTCCGATTCTCCTCCGTGGTCATGGAAAAATGAGTAGGCTAGGCCTATTTACAATGACATCACTGAAACGTTTCCAACAAAGAAATGGATGGACTTCTGTCAGCTTACGTAACGTTTATACATCAGGCCCCTGGTACATTGCAGCAAAGGGTCACGATCCATTCCCTGCTCTCCACCAGAGGTTGCCACACACGCCACTCAGACTTTCACCCTGGACTCCATTTCCCAAGATCCCCTCTGATTACACCCTCACCTGTTTCCAATAACCCTGACACTATAAAGGTTGCACTCACTCACATCCAGGTGCTCAGTATTGATTAGCCTAGCTGCCATTCCAAGTGCTTCCTAGTATCCTGTTTCCTAGTCTTGTTGTTCTGACCCTAGCCTGTTTATCTCGCCTCTGATCATTTACTGCTTGCCTTTATCTATTGCCTGTGTTGGATTATTCTCTTGCCTTGCCCTCTGGACACTGTTTGCTGGTGTATGACCTTTGCCTGTCTGACTACGCTCTTTGTTTGAATAAAAGTCTGCAATTGGATCCGACCTTGCCTACACGACCCTCATTGTTACTCAGAGACTATAGAAAAGAAAGGGACTTTGATTGCAGTAGATGGAGACCTCTCTCAATGGCTCTGTATAGACTTCCTTATGTTTCATAGGCCTACCTGTTATATTCTAAAGCAAAGATGTATTTTGTTTGTGAGTGATTCATTATCGAATAAAATAAATAAATAAAAACCTATTCCTAATGTCATGACTTAACAAGCGGTGTTGAAAGCGTGTTTGCGTGCTGATAATGTCCTGTGAGCTCGCAGTGCAGAAATGCTACCTCGGGAGGGCAGTTTTTAAGTGCGCTACTTTTGAAACTGTACCCGCTGCAGCAAAAATGGCTGCCCACTGTCTGTCTGTCTGTCTGTCTGTCTGTCTGTCTGTGTGTGTGTGTGTGTGTGTGTGTGTGTGTGTGTGTGTGGTCACTACTCACTGCTGTGTGTGGGACACCATACCTGGCTACACGTCACGTCACTTTCACTTGTTTTTATCAGCTGTTTGGACTCTCAATCTGACGGCACCCATTCATTGCAGAGGATCTATTTTTGAGCAAATGATGTAAAGCTAAATTTCTCCAAATCTGTTCAGAAACGTAATCTTCGACATCTTGGATGACCTAAAGGTGAGTAAATTTTCAGCAAATGCTCATTGTTGGGTAAATCTTTTACAAGCAATAATTGTTTTCAAAAATAGATCTTGAATTATTTTTCTTACCTCACTGGCAAATTGTTTATTATTAGTATTATTATTATTGTCTTTTTAGTACTATACAATTTATGCTTATGAACTACTGTTTTACTGAGCAGTTTATAATTAATAGTAGGTAGGCCTACTTTTCTGCCGGTTGGAAATAATATAAGAGCTGACTAAAAGGAAAGAGTGTAATCCATCTGCAGTTTGACTTGGTAAAATATCTAGAGAGGAAGGAGGAGAGAAACTAAGGGCAGCCAAACATTTCATCCAGTAAATACTTTGTTCTATAAATAAAATATAGCTTGCATCCAGAGTTTAAATGAGTAGTGATGCTTAACAGACACAACCGATCATAATTTCTACCTAAAATGTAACGTTTCTACTGATACTGTAGTTATTTTATACAAAAGCACAATATTCTGACTTGAACACAGGCAAAACACATTATTACCTGCAGTCACCAAGAGGGCAGCCGCAACACAGATCCAGGAAGACAGTCTTGCAAACAACTTCTGTCTAAAAAAGATATATAATTTACACCTCAGTTAATAAACCGACAACATGTGTCAAACATTACGATGTTCATAGACATTGTTTAATATTAATTTAATGTCATCATTTTGTGTTATGCATAATAAATGTCATATAATATACAGGGTAGAGCACCATTTCAATGATGTTCAGACTGATTTGAGAATGGCAAGTCGTTCTAATAGTCTTTAATTAAATTAGGCAGAACATCAGACACACTGGACTATTCTTGGCTTATGAAGATGTACCTGCAAACGCAAACTGTATCACAATAAGTGTGCAGTTGGTTACAATGGTAACTGCTGAAACGGATGCTGGTGTTCTCCACTGGTGTGCTATTTAGATTGCCATGTTTGATGAACTTATAAATAGCCCAGTTTTTCTGCATTAGTCGTCGGTTCTATATGCACCCAAATGCTGTTCTCAGAGGTTAAGCAAACAATGGACAGAACTCTGTTTTTATAACACTACACTAACACTGTTCTGTTTCAAGATTTATCAGTCACCACTTTCAGGTGCAAATCATTTAAAAACATAACACGATTAGATTAGTCAGATTCAAAGCAAATTATTTTTATGAAATTGTTCTTGAAATTGACTCTTCTAAGGTTGGAATACACTAAATGATTTTGCCCAGATATTCTGACATTTATAAACATGTTTTATATTTTAAATGGATGTTAGAACACATATTTTTGTCACTAGCCATGAGGCACATGAATGAATTTGTTGTGTTCAGAAGGTTTGAAAGTCTGTGATCCTCAGTCGTTTAGTGTATGATGCCCAGATTTTTTTTCTCAAATTTACACAAAAATGTACACAAAAATTACAGCTGTTTAATTTGATACTATAGCTCATAATTTAGTCTGGCTTTTATATATTGCTTCTCACACTGAATATTGAGCAGGCTCAGAGCAGCCTTAACTCAGCAGTGTAAAGAGGCCATTTAATATTACAGTGACTAGAGACTCACTATGTTCAGTGATTTTAACTAAACCACCTTCAACAGAGCCATCATGTTTTGTTTATGTTTGGAAAGCTACGTCGCAGAGAGTGCTCTTGAAGGGTTGCCATGTCCACTTATTATAGGCAATGCTTATTGAATGTCTTTGGGCTTGTTGCTTGGGCTGGGTTCATAAAGTGATCCATTTATGGAGTTAATAAAGTAGAAAGGTGCAAATCGCTATATTTTGGTATGTGGCTTATATTCAAGATCTGGCAACCCTAATGAGTAAAAATGTACCTTGTGATTTCTTTCACCGCACTTACAAAAAAACAAATCACAACTCTGATATGTTTAAATATATCATTAACAACTAGTAGTTCAGTTCATTTCTGTACACACTGCATAGAATTTCTGTAAGTGGTTGTCACTACCTGAATTTTTCGGGAGTCAATTCGGTTGTAGAATGCAGTTGTCACTCCCGTAAAATACTGAACTGTGAGAACAGGCTTAAGCACTAAAGGAATTGAACCAAATTTAGCTGCAGCGTACATAGCCAATAAGTGTTCTAAAGTCAGCTCAAACTATCAAACATGTTTGATATCCTCCAACTGGATAGAATTATAGTCTTAAACTAGAAAATCTGTCAACTCATACTCCCCAAAATCTGCAGAGTGGCTCTCTTTCGGCATCTAACATCCACTCATCCAGACTGCAAATCGAAGCAAAAATCTGGACTAAAGTCATGTAGTGTATTTTAGCCTTTACAGAACTTCAAGTCTTTCTTGGACTCCTTGTTGCATTTAACCTAGATTAAGGCCAGTTAATCAGATCATGTAAATGAATTACAATAAAAGGAACAGATTGGAACTAATTGTATAGCCTAACACATCTTAGTGTAAGAAATCAATAATCTCTACAGTAAATGAATTTAAGAACTCTATTTCTGGCTTTTGGCCATTGACAAAATATCCATTAGCTGAGTCACTCTGTAATCCCAAACTGCATACAGTGTAACCAGATTTATACGAATGGTCTTGTAATAATATATCAAAGTGAAACCGTTTCTGTTCAACAGAACAGTAAGACTGAGGAATCCCAACGGTCTTTTAATTTTATGAAAGCCTATGGGAGGCTCTCCAGTACTGGACATTTAATTTTTCATGGGGGTATTATATGTCCATGGGTATTAGCACATTGTTTTTGCGCGTGCAATATCTTTGTTCATCACAGACAGTGGCATTCATCAATGTCCAGTGCAATAATTCAGCACTGTAACAGATCTGCAACATCCATACTCATCCACAAACACAGTCACTTGTCGCCACCTACTGGCACAAACATGTATCCTGCAGAGAAGCTCACTAACATCCAGTAGAGGCAAAATAGAGGCAAGCGGAATGGATATAAACGGTGAAAATTCCAGTTTAATGACTGGAACTAAGTGTTGTATAATGTTAATTGTAAACAATGTAAAAATGATTTGTTGAGGTTGTAAAACAAAGATTATTGGAGTATATTTTATAAGAAATTACCATTTCAGTCTTTCTACTTCAAAATTTCACTTTTAATTCAGTGTGTTACTTGTAACTTTGTAATTATTTATGAAATGTACACATTTTTTGTGATAAAATTTTCACCTCATTTTTTCAGTGTAGTATACTTATAGTATTACGAATGAATATGCTTGCCAAAATGTTTTTGTCAGAATACACAGATAATTTTATTAGCTTTCAATTCAATTCAGTTCAATTTTTTTGTGCAGTTACAGCATCTGCCAGCAGGGGCACACTGGACTGTTTTAACTAGGCAAATCTTGACCTCTTCTTTTGGATGAACTTCTAACCTACATTTCCAGTATATGAAGGCATTTTATTTTATTTTTTTTACTTGTGGCCTTTCTGTCACTTACTTTGCTTTGGTCTGCCAGCTGTTTTCCAAGACCTTTTTCTTTTGTCAGACCAGGCACTCTCTTCACTATAAGCGGGGCAATCTCTCTCGTTCTGTCTTTCTGTTCCTCCAGCCATACATTATTCATGCGCTATGTCCACTCGGCAGAACTAATCTGGCCTGCTGGTGATGACTGCACATTAAAATGCACCAAAATGAGCATGTTTCTTCTGTTAGGCCATTAAAGACCCGAAAACGATGGGAAAGATCTCTGGAGAGCACTATAAGTGCGTTCCCAAAATAGAAGGTTTTATGTTTACATGGACCTGAAATGTTGACATGAAAAGTTTGGACATGCTTGACTGAATTGTTGTTTCTCATGATCTTAAACACTTTTTGATCTGTAGGTTTATGCCTAAAGTCTTGAAATGAGTTTGGTAGATAGATAAATATACACTGAAAAAATGTATCATGGTTTCCACAAAAACATTAATCCTCTATGGTATGGAGTTGCCATATGGCAATAATTAATTTCTACTCATTTCCTTGTTATTCTGAAAAAAAAATTTGGGGGCTGTTTTTAAGTCACATGACATTTGAATGTCCATCCAGAACTCTTTTTCCCATTGTAACCTTCACACGGAAGACACCTGTTGAAGTGCTCCAGAAATTGCTCTATTAACCTCATTTCTAAACATCTCTTCGCAAGGAGGATTTTTTTGCAGCATCTTTGTTAAATAAATTGTATATTTGTATTCACAATTTAACTTTGTCTAACATAGTTTTGCTCTGAGTTTCCATACGAACAACCCCTCCCAAAAAAAAATTTCTTTCAAAAATCTGTTTTGATTTGTATTTCATGTAATAAAAACTCATTAAAAATATATTTCATGGTTAGAACATAATGCATACCATAGAAGGTTAAGCAGCATAAACGGTTTTCAACACTGATAATAATAAGAACCGTTATTAATAATTGATAATAATTGTGTAACAAATCAGCATAGAATGATTTCTAAAGGAACATGTGACACTGAAGACTGGAGTAATGATGCTGAGAATTCAGCTTTGCCATCACAGGAATAATTACGTATTAAAATACATAAAAATATAATATAGTCTATAATATATAGTTCTTCTGCTTTGTATAAACACCCTGATCGTGTTTCCACTGCCTGCCATTGTGCTGTTTTTGGTCTGTTTTCTTGGAATCACTTTCAAAGCAACTGTCTGCAGATGAGTCAGCTCCATCAAAGATCCGTTCTGGGAAGGACTCAGGTCTTTGCTCTGAGTAATATACCATGGTGTTGCAGCTGAATGGTGCAGCATACAAAGAAAGGTGTTTCTTCAAGTAGGGCTACTTTTTGTACCCTAAAACATAGATTCTAGTTATTATACATTTTAAATATTATAAACGTTGTTATACATTTTAAACATTCGTCAGTCTGTGCATCAGCTGCTGGTGATAAGTGAGTCATTGAATCATTCATTCAAAACAATGATTCGTCTAACAATCCAGCGACGACACACCACTGCTGTGGCTTCATTGGAGGTGTTTTTGCTGGCAGGGGGTAAAACAGACAAAGTATATTTCTTGTTTATTAAACTGTTACATGAACGCACTTGTAACTGAATTGCACTGCTGTTTTAGAATAGCCGTTGCAGCCTTATAGATACACATGTTTGTATTCGTAATCATCTGTCAGAATGTAATAACTTGCTCAGCCTATAATCTAATCTAATATAGAGACTTTCCACAATCCAAACTATTTCTGGTAGAACTCATATTTGAACATTCTTTCTCACTCAGAATATTGCCTATTTCTAGAGAAATCAAAAGTGCTGCAAACATATCATCCATTTATATCCTTCCAGTCTCTTAGTCTCTGTACATTTAATGTCAAGATATTTGGACTTGTTGACTTGAAATAAAGTAACAGATGGTTATTTTCACGTCACAGAGCAATGGTTGATTATGTTCAGCACCATGTTGTTTCACTGTTTTTTAAATCCAGATTTAGCATCTTCACACCTCCCACCCATCCTTAATGTACACATGTTCAATAATTCAACCCTTGATTCCTCTGAATAACCAAGATACTGAGAAAAGTCAGTAAATCCAACCTATTCCTGTGGTCTTAATTTAAAATGTGGGAGGCAGAGTTGTCTGACTTGTTTAATAATATTAAAAATTTTTTTTTTTTTTTACTGTTTTACTGTATTTTTTGATGAAAAACATGCGGACTTTATAAGAGTTATTATAGTTAACTTAAACTGAAACTTAAACACTGAAGAGAGACTTTCAAAAACATTTTTTTAAAAATCATACAAACCTTTGAACGATATTCTCTTGTTTTTAGAGAATATGTCTTGCAATATTTTATTTCTCTCTGTTTCAAGCATAAACCGACATTTTTCTTAAATTTATGCTTTAAACAAGAACAAAACGTTTGTGCTGATTTGCCTTGTTACTTCAGGAAATCGGTTCAATTGTGCTAAAACAGTAGCTGCAAATAATAATAACACTATCAGCAAGCACAATTCATTCTTAATTAAATCCCCCATCTCATGGCAATTCATAACTATAATATATAATAATATTATCCCTTAAAAGTTCATTTCTGATGCTGTTGTTGACTGTTTCAGTTCTCAGAGTTTAGCCTCTCGCTTGGCTGGCTGCACGCTCACACGTTTCTTCCTGTTCTACAGGACCCGGTCAGGACAGTCCCGCAGTATAGCTACCCTGATTCCACCAGTAGGCATGGGTCACCATCTCTACACGTGAGTCCTAGTGCACCAGATCTGTCAAGACACATCACACCATATCGAAAGCTCGTCCTCTCTGTCTCTCTCAGACACACACGCGGGCTATTTGGGACTGATCAAGACCATGTTTTTTGTAAATATTTTTCAGTGCCTGCCAAGTCAAGCCTGGGACACCCGCACCATGCAAATATGAGTGCTCTGAGGCAATCTGTGGGGATTTCACAAACAACAGCACCAAGTGACCAATCCAATGATGCTGAAATCTGTCATCCTTCACTGAGGTAAGACCTTTCCCAGAGGAAAAACCAATTGCTCAGAGGTTGCTCTTTCTTAGCTTAGGAGTCTTAACCCTATTTGATAGGCCTGTAAATGATCAACATAATCAAAACTTTGCTGAAAAACATGTATAATTCTAAAGCCTTTTAGTATAATTCTAAAAACGTTCACCTTCAGGTTGTGAAATCTATTTGTTGTGAAATTTTTAATGATTTTTATGAAGTGAATGTAAAAATATATTTTATATTGTTAGTAATGTTTCAATATGAACTGGACTGAAGGAATGTAGGTTTACTTGATCATCCATACATCTTTTTTTTTTTTTTAGAAAAATTCTGTTATCAGGTTTTTGAAGAGCATTTATTTGTTCATCTCTCAGTCATCATTGTATTGGATTGCATTATATGATTCGCCCCCTACAATGAAAACCACAGAACATCAAACATAAAACTAAGCATTAAAATATCCTCTTTTCATGATGTATTATTGGGAGATAGAGAATGACAACTGATATTCATATGCATTGTTTTGAAAAGTAGTCTGCTATATTGTTTTTAAAAATGTCATTAATTTACATTACAAGCTGTCAGAATTCCATCTTACTTTTTGGCCATATAAATATCAGCAACTGCACCAAATTGCATGTTTTTGTTCAGTATGGGCCTCTGAATAAAAAGTCAAGAGTATGAGCTCCATATTCATATCATACTATATGGGCCATAAAAACATGATGTATCAAATATGAAAAACATTTTTTGTTGAGTAAAAGCTGACATGAAACTATAGCCCGAAATTGAGCCAGTAGATAAAACAATTATAATAATAAATTAATTATTATTATGATTGTTTTATCTAATGCTCAATAAACTACATTTCTAAATAAAATTTTGGGGGGCTATAGTTTCATGTCAGCTTTTACAGGGTTAATGGAGCTTCCGATTAGGTCTTTTATAAGAAGTTTATATGAGAAATAAAAAAATAGACACAAACTGAAAGAGTATAGAGCTATCAAACAAACAGCATTGTTTGGATAACTTGGTCTTTACCAGAATCTCATGAGAAATGTTTGAGTTCATTTTGAGATCTCCGACTGTTTTGATTTGAGCACAGATTGAGATTCTGAAACTCAAGAATAGACATGTGAGTCTTTTTTTCTTTGGAGACAAAAATCGGAGAGTTGGGAAACCTGCTCTCCATTTAATCTCATTGCCGTCTAGGAGAAACAATTCAGATCTCATTAATGGTTTTTCTTCATTGCTAACACCAAACAAAGCATGTAACAAAATCAAATATATGAGAGCACTAATCAATCATTTGTTTGATGCATTATTGAAGGTATGCCTCAATATCATGTTCCAATAGACCTGGTGAAGTTAATTAGTTTGTATAGCTTCACTCTATGCAGACATACAGTACTGGTTATTAATTACATTAATTATTCACAATCTTTTGGGTGGATGTGCTTTTAAGGTGTGTGCATGTACTGAGCTACAAGCACAGCACGCATGTTTATGTGACAGGAGTATGTACTGTGATATGATTCCTTTCTGGTCCTCAAGGGAGAGTCCTGAGATGTGAGGAGAATTCCAAAGAGGAAATCTGGGGGATTTTCCCACATCGGCAGGCTGATCATGATTCCCACTTACACATGCACAGAATTCTGAAAGTGTGTGTGTGTGTGTGTTTTTTTTTTTTTAAATGGTTGTGCTTCTTGGAGTGTATGAGATTATTAAAATATGTCTTTAGACAATTAAACAAAACGATGACGTCCATGAATTTTAACATCAGTTCAAATGAAACCTGCACAAAAATATTGTGGACATCTTCTGATCTGATTATATCTCTGTCCAGTTGTTTTGTGGGAGATGGAGGCTGTGTGTGAAGAGAGAGATCCAGGTTTGCACGGGATTATGGGAGCTGTGTGTGTTGATTGGAGGAACCGGTTCTGTGTTACCTCACCCAATATAAGGTAAGACTCAACATACCAATGCTGAATGAAAGATGAATTCATTATCTACTGGATCAAGTCAAAAGCTTTTCACAGCCAAATACAGTCACATGATAATTAAATAGTTAGTAAAAAGAAGATATAATACAGGTTATATTACATTTCTCAGACCTGCTACTACCCACTTACCAGGTCTTCTTTCTTCTCTCATCCTGTAGCTTCACATTCTTACTGACAGAGGAAGACAAACCTCAAGCACCTGAGGTAAAACACTCTAAAACAGCACATCATCTATGCATATCCTAACTTTAAATGTCATAAAGCTATTATTTTAATTTCCTTCAAATGTAATCTTTATCGCTTCAAGCAAACATACGGCTAACGATGAAAATTAATTTACTTCCCCTTATGTCATTCACAACCTGTATCACACGAAAGGTAAATATTTCAAGAATATTCTTATGACAGTTTTTTCAATGCAATGAAAGTGAGTAAGTACTAGGGCTGTCAAGGTTTAAATTGACAAAAAGAAACACAAACAATGTCATTACACTAGTCCATATGACTAATGGGCTATATTCAATTTCTTCTGATGTCATATGATTCAATATTTAAGTAATTATTCACTGATAATCTGCCTTAGGTCTTCCTGGCACACGGTTGATGCAGTTTGCAACACAAGTCTGAATGATTTGTTTTCAAGTTGGCCGGATACTTGTTGATGCTCAATAATCTGGTTGCAGCGGTTGGTTACCAGCTCACTGGAGGGGGAGATCAGTTTTAGTTTTTGTAGTTTAGAGCTTCGTTAATCCCCTTTAGTTCAGTGGTGCATCACATATGCGATCAACACTTAACAAATACACATACAAATACTCAAAATACATAAAAAAAAAATAGAAGGAAAAAAAAACAACTAAATTTATTACATAAACATATTGCTTCAGGCACAAAAGTTAATATGTAACGATTTGTAAAACATCTGATTGTCCTTAAATGTCGCCCAAGGGGCATCCACTCAAAATAATAATGCAAAGGGTGTGTGCTGTCTCCTATTATTTTATGTGCCATCCTCATCACTTGCTGTTCATAATCAAATGTAAGACTTCGCAAGGAAGCACCCATAATTCGTGCGCACATATTAACAATGCCTTGCAAACAATTTGTGTTCTTTATAGACAATTATGAAAACAAACAAATAAAGGAAAAGGACAGGATACTTTAAACAAATGAATTAAAAAAAGACCTGTGAATAACTCTCTGTACATTGAACGAGTTAAGCTTCCTCAGCACAAACAATCTTTGGTGTGACTTTTTAATCACTATTGTCACTATTGATATATTAATATCAATTGTCACTCTATATCTCCCAATAATATGTCTTAGTAAGTTGATATTTAAATGCTTAGTTTATGCTGTAGTTTTAATTGTATTGCAGTGATGATTGAAATATAAAGCAAATATAAATAAAACAAATACAAAGATAATGCAAATAAACATTCCTCAAAAGCATGTAGTATCATATTTGCCACTTAATAATTTTTTTTTCTAAAAATGATGAATGGATAAGTTGCTTCAGTCCAGCAAGTGTTCATCTTGAAATATTGCTAACAATATAAAAGTTATTCTTAT